GGCGGCTGTCTCCATTCTGCTCCTGGGGGGCGGCAAGAGGGCGGCCGTGGACAAAGGGCCCTCCGGCCCCGGGCCGAGCCGCCCCGTCTCTGGGCACACGAGGCTCGCGGGGCGCCAGGCGCCGGGGCCCAGCAGCCCGGGCCTCGCCCCCGAAACTGAGCCCCGCCTGCACTCACAGAACCGGCAGCCTGGCTGCTCCCCCAAAGCCACGCAGCACGCGCCCCTGCAGGTGCAGAGCGACCAGAGCCCGCGTCTGCGGCCCCAGAGCCGGACCTGCCCCTGCCGGGCAGCGCCTCTCTGGCGGGGAGCAGGCCGGAGAGGGGCTGGGCTGGACCGGGCAGCAGCCCGTGTGGGAACCTAGGCTCCCCCAAACCTAGGACACGCTTGGCAGGACCCTGGGTGACTGCGGGGGCTGAGGCTGGCCCCAAGGGGTTAGCAGACAAGCAGCCGGGGGGGCCTGTGCGGGGCCTCCGGGGAGCCAAGCGTGCACCGCGGGCCACCGCCCCCATGTCCTCCCACCCCCAGTGCCCCCACACTGCCCCCGCACCCCGTCTCCCCCGAGTGCCGTGCCCGCGCCCCCTCACCTGCCCCAGAGGCAGCCTCAGCAGCCGCCAGGTCTCAGGGCTCAGCCTCTGCGTCCCCTTGGGTCTGGCCCCTGGAGGCAGCGACCGGTCAGCCCCGAGCGCCCGAGCCAGCCCCGCGTGGGGGCCGACGGGCGCGGCGCTCTGCAGGGGCCTGGCTGGGCCGCCCGGTTCTGGCCCCGGGGCCCCGGGGGTCCTCGCGGGGAGGGGGAGACGGGGGCAGCGCCCTGCTCCTGCCCTGGCCGGGAGGTGGGTCCCGCTTCTGGCCACCAGGCGCTCCAGGGGGCCGGTGGGGACTGCTGGGTCGCGGGTGCAGGTCGCGAGCGCAGGGGAGCCCCATTCTGCTCGGCAGCGCCCTCAGAGCTCCACACCGAGGGGCCAGAAGACAGCTGGAGCGGGGCCGGGCGGGGGCGGGGGGCTGGCCCGGCTGTGCCCCAGGAGGGGCAGGTTGACCCCAGTGGTGAGGTGAGGATGAGGCGGGCTGGGCCCGGCCCCGCTGCCGCCCCCAGCCAAGACAGCTCCGAGAGCGGGGCGCGGGGTCACGCCTGGCCGAGCCCGCCGGGG